GTTTTGAACTGTTTGGGTATACCCTGGGTAAAGAAATGTAATAAATAAATAAATAGAATAAAACCATTAGGATAGATTGCAGAAAAGACAAGTTAAAGTCGGGTTAACAATAATGGTGGGGACACAATAGGAGGTGCTATCTATTGGGTAAACTCTTTTATATTTACTCCAATTTAGGCCACTCCAAATAGCACCATCCTAAATAAGCCTCTGTACTGATGACGTCACAATACGTGTGTGCTTTCCTTTGGTGCTCAGTGGACCGTGGGCCCCCACTGGCTCCCTAGGAAAGTGGACATATAAACAAGGTATGACGTCATCAGTACAGAGGCTTGTTGTTTCAGCCATTAGGCATATGTCGGAAAAGCTTACGGAGTGAAAATGAACCTAATATTGTGCCAATGAACACGATTGGTGGCAGCAGACGTGTTTGTGATCGCCTGCGGCCACCGTGACCGACGAAGGATATGAAACTATAGAACCCCTGGCGATTCATTGACATAGTTCTTGTATAAATATGACAACAGAGACAAAGAATATCATCAGAGGATGTTTAAAAAAAATCATAGTAATTCACTCTTCTAAATTGAATTTGAATTTTAGCAGTAACGAAATACTCGTTGTCAAACACAACTTTGTTGTGCGAAACGCGATTTCTTTCAAATCCTTGCTTTTCATTTTCCCTGTCCAAAAAAGCATAGGCCTACACAATTACTTTTTTTGTTAAAATAAAACACGTTTTCTTTCAAAAAGGCTAGGTTGCACTTACTTCCTTAGTGATCTAGACCTATTCTTTGTGTTTTGTAAAACCGCGACCTTGTAGAAAACGTGGAGCGTATTTAAGCTGATACGACTACTCACCGTCGTTAATAAGCGCGGTTTTGTACGTCAAAATGCACACGTTTGAATCGTGGCAGTAATATATTACGGTCACACATGACGTGGGCCTAATTTACACACTAATAAGTGAGGCCCATATTATCGAAAATGTAATAACTGAACCTGGCACCTAAAACTCCTCATAAAGTATTGAGCACCAGGAAAATGAGCTTATCTGGTAACAAGACTGTGTTGCTCTAATAATAATGGTGACTTGTTTTAACCGAGAGATAAACTTAAGGTCAAACAACGTTTACTATACCTTTCACCAACATAGCCCCAAAAGACATGACCAACTTTTAGGAAAATATCGATCTCTTTATCGGTAGGGTAAGAAAACTTGGCCCAATCCTTAAGGAAAAAGTTCCCAACAATTGGGTTTTGCAGTTGCCCATCTTCAGGAATGAACAATTGGGTAAAAAAATCGAAATATTTGGACTAAAACACGTGGCTCAATCCTTTAAGTAAATAATCCCAACCCTTGCTCAACGTCAGGAGCAGACACTTGGGTAAACTGTGTTTCAATTCTTGGTAAAACAGTTTGTTCATTTTCGTTTACCCACCTTTTGTTCAGTATACCACATGACCCAGGGCAACACTTCCTTGTGGGCATGGCACGTCTTCACGGAACTATGCAACTTCGTCCCCATGTGTTACTTCCTTCAATCTCGTTTCCAATAGTAAAATATGGGTTTCGCTCGTACCCATCGCCCTCAAACAGGACGCTGGAAAGGCAGGCTCGGATCCAGAGGGGGGTTTTGGGGGTCAACCCCCCCCCCCCCCCGCAGCTCTGTCCCAAAAAAAAATTATCATACAAATTCCTAAAAAACAAGTCGAAACACACACCCCCCCCTGCTGTGACACCCCCCCCCCCCCCCAATTATACTGGTCTAATGTCCGCCTGTTCAAAATACAGTACACCATTCTGTAATGAGTGTTAATAATCGTCGAATTTGAACAGCGCCCCCTATTGAAATTGATTCCTACATCCTGATTCGAAACAGCAAAGGATTTATATCGTGTATTTGGTGTTTTTATTTCCAACCGGGTAGCCTATTATGCATTTTAATGTTCAATGTGATTTATTACGTCCACCACACATACAAAACACACACCCCCCTCTTCCATTTCGGCTTAATAACAAGATTTAATGTGATACTGCATAATTTGTATGAGACTGTAACATTTTAGCATTGACGAAAATCGCGTTTTCGGATCTGTTACCCCATACACCAAATACAATCAGGCACCAGACTGTTCCTAATTAGCATATATGTGCAAGATTTTTGGACATGTAAAAAAAGATCCAATACCAATATACCAAGGTGAGAGAAAAGTATTGATGGGAACGTATTGCTCGACAATTGTGACAGAGGAACGATGTCGGAGTGTATACTTGTACATCATAATAGATGCTACGATGGTTCATCTTGACTCTAACGTCGCTAGAGGGGGTATGAAATGCCTCCTCCGTTCGTTCTTTTCAACAAAATCGGGTAGCTGTCTGCAAAATGCCGCGATGAACAGCGCCATCACCTAATGTTTTGTGGTATTCATTTGGGACCGGGTTCGTCTCTGAATTAGCCTTTTTGATATATAAGGGCGGCAATCACGGGGTGGGTGGGTGGGATGGGGTGGGGTTGGACGCTCATGGCGTTGTCCACCCGAATTATTTATCCCAGTGCGTATAGCGTCTAACCCAATACACTACCAACATTTGTACTGTATGTTTCCTAAATAGTGTTATAGCTGTAAGATATTGCTTGTGTGCATGCATCACCCTTTGCATGGAAATTGCACACAATGGGCAGAAATACGCACACGCATACATACATCTTTGAGCAGCGCCCTCTACAGGCGGATGGTATCCACCCACCCCACCCCCATTTTTCTAACATTCAAGTTACTGGTTCCCTCCCCCCCCCCCTTCATGTTAACCCTGATGTTGATATAGCACCTCCCACAGTATGGAAGGAATGTTTGGGTGGGTCAATGTTTGTAAGTTCAAAAATTGTAGGCCATTCCACTCCAAATAGCGCCATCCTCAACAATACAATTAACCAGCCTTCAATTCGTCGTGTTTCTGAGTAGCCTATGGTTATTGTCCGTACGTAAGCAAATCATAAATGTGTATTAAACAGCCCAATATGAACACCGCCACCTAGTGACAGATGGTATCCAACTAGTCGACCTTGATCGGCGCCCCCATGTGCCAGAATGATGTTTAGTCACCCTAACCCCATTTTGCCTATCGACTCCATCCTCCCAACTCCATCCTTCACCGGCTCCTCTGCAGGTCTGTTTTCAACCTGACCAGTTATCAACTAAATCAACTAATTATTTCTAATAAAGAAAAACACATTCACTCAACAAAACTATGACCACAAGGCACCCATGTTGTTGACCACACACTCAAAGCTTCGTTTTAATCTACTCGACTATTAACTGAATTCGAAGCTATACAATACATGTAAAGAGTGCACCACGTTGACATAGGCCTAACCACTTTTTTTTTTCATTTTTTTTAAAACGAATAATGAAAATTTCTTCCAGCAGTTCGGTGAAAACGGAGCCAGAATTTCACATCAGGGTGCAGTGAGCAAATACATTGCAAAGGCTGAATAATTGTACTTTAAGCGCTGCAGCTTTTTACTAGGAGAAATTTCGAGTTTATTATTATCATTACCAAAAAAATGGTACATCAGTGAGACATTCCCGTAGAGTTGTGCACAAACAAAAACCCTTCCTTAACCCAAATTCTACAAAACTTTCCTCAACAAAATTGTTCCATTATACTATTCTCGACCTGAGGAATCGTTTTATGTGACTTTGGACATTAAACTTCCTTCGGCTAATTAGAACATTGGAATGGCATTCAATGTCTCCCTTTTGTCAAATAATCTACTGAAAAGTGTCTCCAAGGTACCATTTGAATTTAATAATGTGTAGACTAACACAAAGACTAACTACCAAATGAATAATTTTAACAATTTGCTGAACAAGAATGAATTTAAATTTGACAATATCACTTTGACAAAACCAAATAAGTTGATGAATGTAACCACAAATCTAATTTTTTTTTAAATTTAATTGTGACAAGTTTCGCAAATCAGGATTTATCCTTTAGGTGTTAAAAATTAAGTTCCAATTGTATCATTCAGCCTTCAGTTATTAAAAGCTCGCCGTTACCAGAAGTTTAGTTTTGGGAAATAAAACTTTATTTCCAGAAGGAAACATTCACAATGAAAGCATTTTAGGCGTCCAAACGCACCAAACTTGAGATATGCAAAACAATTTGTATTTTACACATAAAGTCATTAACACCATAAATGTAAATCTCTTTCGTGCCAAAAAAGACGATTATTGTCAAAATTCTCGAGACAACTAGATCACAATTACATTTACAAATTCGTTACAAGTACAACTTCTATATACAGATGTTGTTTTTTTTTTCTTTACTAAATCCTCGAAAGTTAATTCGTGTGATCTTGAATAATTATTTAGCCGGTGTCACAGACGCCATTTTGAGTGGCATATGTTTTGAAGGATTATATTTTCATGCTACATTTTTTCAAGGAGTAATCATTAAGATGATTCCAACGAAACCAATAAATGCCCCAGTCAATACCCGGTATCTGCCGTTCAAGTGACAGGCCATACACGCATTTAACCACCAGGCTCCTTTATGGATATAAGCACAATTTCTGTCATAGACATCATTGTCCTTTATTGAACAGGTTTTCTGATGGCATTTTGAGGGGTATAATGTTTTGAAGAGTATAATATTTATTCATAAGATGGGATTTTTGCGTCGGGATGATGTAAACCAAATTAGGTTTTGCCCTTCACCGACGTATAAACACTGTAGGCCTATACTCAGTGGGTTACCTCCAACTTTCACTCGGGAGTTAACACACTGAGTATACAGTGTTTGTACGTCGGTGAAGGGCAAAACGTAATTGTAGTATAATTTTTGTTTATTCATATTTCGCGTATTTTCATGCTGCATTTTTTCAAGGAGTAATCAATAGTATGTTTCCAACGAAACCAATAAATGCCCCAGTCATCACCCGCTAATGTCTGGTTTGGGTAATAGATACCATTCAAGTGACAGGCCATACACTTCGCAAACCACCAGGCTCCTTTGTGGATATAAGCACAATTTCTGTCATAGACATCATTGTCCTTGTCCTTTGTAGTAAAGGGAAAACCCTTGCTCTCGGCAAGAGAGTCGCCAGCGGTGCTGCTTATATCGTAAAAGTCATAATTCAGACGGTACTCACCAGGAGATAGTTTGAAATCGGTGTACTTTGCCCAAACTGTTTTGTTCTCCCAGTCCCCTAAATCAACTCGCAGCTCCCATGTTCCTTGTGAATCATCAGATGTCAGAGTCACCAAGTTGTCGTTGCCCAACCAGAACTCACTGGGCAGATCGCCAAAGCCAGACTGGTACTCGGTCCAGTTACGCCAGAAGTCTACGCTGCCATCTTGTCGCCTTTGAAACACGATCCATCCCCCGCCGTCAGTTTCCATGTCACAGTAGACGCGAAGACCGCAATTACCGAACCCCTCTGGGTAGATTGTGTAGATACCGCTTGAACGATAACCGGCATCTAAGAACCTTTTGCAACTTTGGTAGTAACTAAAGGAGCTATCATCCAGTGAGTAGAGAGGTGTGTCCTCATCTGCATCAAAGTACACACTCCCTTGAGTTGCATTGAAGTCTTTGGGATGCTCTCGTCTTGTGGCAAAGTTCAACTCGCACTTTTTGTTGCAGTCGTTGAAGTTGAACGACTTGCAACGTTCATCCATGCTGCATTCTCGTCCACAAATTACGCGAGATTGTACTGTTATATTGGCATAAGCAAAATGTCCCAGGGCGCGATTTTCTGCGGCATGAAACGTACACTGCCATGTTTGGCGCGAGTAACCACATGGAACTAACCAAGCAATGGCAGCTGTCAGGAAAGTAACATACAACACGTAAATCACTTCCATACCAAAATTCAGTGTTGCCATCAATGCCGTTGTCTAAAATCGATCGTCGTCTTAAAGTCGTAGACGATCTCGTTGTAAGTTCTGGTCTCATGCAATTGAATGCAGTATATATTTTGTGGTTTGCTCGTCGATCTAAAATGTTTCAAACTACATGTGAAATTTTCATCTGTTTACAGTAAGTTAAAACGCCTGCTAAACCTCCTTTACGAGACACAACGCATACAACGTAGTGTGCCTGTTGTTTAATTCGAGAGGCCAGGGTGTAGAGGCGTTATGATGTGGGATTCGCTGATTGGTTATCTATTTCAGTATTAATACGATAGCTCTTCAGATAATTCCCTTTACGTCACGAAGATCCCAGCTCCTGATTGGATGAGGATATTGGAAGCATAATTATAAACGCAGATAATCAAATTAGCTGCCTGTACGGCTTGAACTATACGGTTCAAAATAGACCTGAACGTACAATGAAATGTTATTCACAGGATCTAATTAAGCAAGTTCAACGGAGGAACGAGGGAGTGAACGGCGTAAAACTGTGAATAGGGTTGTCGTGGCACCAGTAGGCCTACCGTGAAATTGCCAATATAAAACCAAGCTATAATATCGATTGAGTGCTGTTCTGCAGGCCGTATAACAATAACCCAAACTATTTTTAGGCCGTGTCTGAGCTAATTGGCTTCGACTGGAAATTACAGCGGATGGAGAAACTGCATTCTTTGATGGGCGTCCATCTCGAGGGAATGGGGAGGCTATATACCCCTCCCACACTTTTTTGACCGGGGATACGCCATGGGATCATCATCCTACACAGGTGGTTTTTTTTGGTGAGACACAAAAAAACTCTCACCGTTGAAAAATACGGATTATAAACTTTTATCTTAATATTCTTTGAACCTAAACTGAAGCACGATGGTCACTTAAGTAATCCTGCATAGACTTGCGTTCATTTATCGTATTTACGCGTCGATGTGGAGGTGCCTATCCGCGTTTATAAATATCCACGTAAAGTCAGTGATGAGTAAGTATCCATCTATTACTGATAACCATTAATAAGCGTGTCCACGTTTTGGGTTCGGGTGCAAAATGCGTAATTTTTGGGATAAGTGAGATGGTAGCTAAAACTACTGTAGTAGCGGCTGTGATGTGTTGGCACTTCGTTTCCTTAAAAAAAATGACAAAATGTCGCAGGGAGATTCTACGTCCCCATTTCCCGGCTAGATACGCCTCTGCATGCTGATGGCTTCAACAATATTCGGATCTTGCTGAGCACTTTCTTACAATCTTTCCTAGCTGAATCGTCTGTTTGCAAGTCCGCATGAGCAGGATAGTAAGCAGCGTGGGAAGCAGGCCAGCAAAACCGTAAGCCAGCCTCACAAAATCCCTTATCGATGTTTATATAACGCCATAAAACGAAGCAATTTCCATGGCAAAGGTAGCCAAGTCAACAGGAACACCACGCTGGTGATGAAGAGCATCCTTGTTTTCTTACGCGATAGGACCGCAGCAGTTTGAGGGGCGTGTTCGTTAGCTGGTCCTTGGTGATAACTTCCCACCACTCGCAATATACAGGCATGTCTCTGCCGTGGCACCTTTTCCTGGTCCGGACTGGTGATCCAAGGAATTCCTTTGTGACGAACACTGGCCAGTTTGGTTCGTCATGGATTCATCGCTCTATTGCACGAGGTTGCGAGATCTTGAGTTGGGTTCGTTGACAGCTGTCAGTATACATCAACCTTATCGCCAGTTACAATTTGAAGTTCATTGGTTCCTGGGGAAATTGGAACGGGCTGTGTGGGTAGGGTTGGCAGTCGGATGTCCCGGTGCATGGATCCTCTCTCGTCTCCGGTGGACCTTCGGACAGCCGCACCGACTCTAACGTGCTTCCTGACGCATGGCAAAGGCAGTAAACGATCATCATTTGTCACTTTTATTGACGGTTTGCTATGACTACCAATCGTTACCAAGGTTTGACGTTTGAAAAATACGGTACACTTCTGGGGGAAAAAGATGGATTTTTGTTTTTGAATCTGAAGTTAGTGTTCCTTAATTTGTGTTGAAATTTGTGCATTGTTTGCAACATTTGTAGCATGATACCAGAAGATTGAATGTCGCTCGGCGAATTTCCCCATTCCTGAGGTAATAGATGACGACGTTTACCCAACTGTTTGTCAGTACAGGTAGCACAAACAGAAAGCAGGCGATCATTGCCCTGTCATTAGGTGTATTAATCACGAAAAATATGATGGGCAGAAGATTGAAAGGAAATGCACTCAATGCAACGGGCAGCGTGGTGTGTAGAGTCTTCGTAGCAGGCCTCGCGAGTCGGTTTCCCTGTCCAGCAGGCTGGTTCTCGACGTGAATGCGACGTGCGTGCTGGTGCGAAATCAGAAAAAGTCTGGTGTACACGACCGAAAGTGTCAGCATACAGCTCAGCAAAATGAGCAGGTAGACAACTTGCATGTAGGTGAAGGAACCCACACCATTTGAGTGAAAAACGCACCCCAGTGCATGCGAATTGTACTTGGCTTGCCAACTGCTGAGAAGACCATACCCTGTTACTATGCACAAGACAACTGCCCATGCAGTACAGGCCGTGATTCGTGCTCGCTTCACTGTCATTAAGGAATGATAACGGAGCGCGTACACCACGGAAATGTACCTGTCTACGGATAGCAAGTACAGCGACAGAAGGGATCCTAGGATGCAGCAGGTGAACAGAAAGGACTGCATACCACACAGTGCTTCCACAAACACCCTCTCCCCATAAATTACCGAAGGTATCATTGGGGTGGCCCCAAAAATCCCCACCCCCAAATCGGCAGCCGTCATGGACCGTGTCGTGGACATTGCTTAGCGCCAGGAGACAAAGTGGGTTCAGTGTTAGGAGTAGAACGGTTTCTGTGATGACAAAGATGAGTTTTATAACGTACGTGTAAGTAAGGTAATTGCTGGTCTCAGTTTCCGGTTCCTTTGATACATTGAATGGAGAGGCATTGTAAAAACCCAAATCCATCGTCGTTTGCGTTGAAGTTACTGCAGTCATCCTGGATACAGACTACGACAAGAAAAAACACGATGACTCGGGAGTTGTCGCCAAGCAGAACTGCAAATTATTTTGTGTCTGAATTTTAAGGCTAGGATGTTTTTTTATAGAAAAACTGACAGAGTGTGCTGAGCGAACGACACACGTTCAACAACAAAAAAATTCTTGGCGATATGAAATGTTTTATCGGACTTGATACAAACTTCAATATAAAATGTGGTTAGCTTCCAGAATCGACGACCACTCTTCAACCACTGTGGTGAACATCGCATGGTCTGCTTTAATTATGGATGCATCATCCGCACACTCTGATTTTGTGACGAAAACAAAAAGAGGAGCGGCTCCTTACTTGTAATTATATTTGTATCTTGTGCTGCCAAGGTCTCTGATTGGTTCCTAAACCGCCGGCTAATGGAGAAAAGCGTCAAATTCAAGCCAAGTTGACGTCTACCTTTAATGAAGCATGGATTAAAAAGTAATGTTGTCAGTGAAGTTGTCACTTGATGCCACCTTTCATTTGGAGGAAGCAACCACACTACTCTTCACTGTCACTTGATTATAGGCGTGGACTTTGACGTGTTGACTTGAGAGCAGTGCAATATATGAGGACAAACCTGGACGGATATTTGCTTGTCAGCAACCGGCAGTCATGACATAAAAGTGAAATGGTCCATAGACACGCCTTTTTGCTGGACCCATGAGGGCCAGCTTACGGTCTTCTTTGCAACTATCTCACTGACTGACTGACTGACTGACTCCCCGACACTCGTGAATTAGACTTTCTTAAGTCCCCCAAACATTTGACTCGGAGAACTACGTAGACACCTTGGACCAAATTGGTCCGGAACCAACTTTACAAGGCTTGCCTACTCATGCTGTATTGATTGAGATATAATCCCTACATGTAATTGTCTTCTTATGACCAACTCTTTGATTTTGGCTGGCTAGCATTGAACTAAATTAGAACTTTAAAGGACTTTGTGGGTTTGATAAATACTCTACTCAGTTCATCACAAACGTGTGGACACGCTGTTCTAGCTGCCCGAGAGGTAACACATTTTTGATGGGAACTTAATCAAGTTGCTGATCTTTATATTTAACCTAGGAGGTCTCTTCTAACTGTCTACCAAAATGTAATCTAGTGTGAGTGGCATGTTAGTACAAACAGTTTGGTGACTGCTCTATGTTCCGACACCCCTATGTTCCGACAACCTAGATTGTGTTACCCCCGGTTAGGGTTAGGGTTAGGGTTAGGGTTAGGGTTAGGGTTAGGAATAGGAATATGTGCAGTCGGAACATAGGGGTGTCGGAACATAGAGGTGTAACCAACAGTTTGATCACTCTCAGTCAATAACAATGGTTTTCCCCATATTACCAATTAAACTTATCACCTGCCAGCTTAACATGTCGACTGTCAATTTGTCGGCTCCACACTAATAGGTCCTTATTGGAAAATATGGTTTCAAGGTACATCTAATCTACATGTATAAGAATCGTTCAAATGCTTTTTTTGCAACAAAATTGCCCAAAGATTAAGTAGTTTGCATAACAACCAACCTGTTGAAGTTTCAGCCTTGTGGATACTTACATTTGGGGGCGGGGGGGGGGGGAGGAGAACAGAGAAAACGTATAATACACAATTTGTTAATAACACACCTTAAAACCACATTCAATTATCGTTTTCTTCCGAACGATACCATTTCATGTGTAAATATTTCACAGGATATTTGGTGCCAGCCCTACCTTCACTTTGAGCAAACCTTTTCTC